TATTTTTATTTTTAATTTTATGCGATATTTTCATACTTATTACATCATTTATATTATTGAAAGAAATACGTAACAAATTCAAACATAATAACACATCGAAAAATCAACTCAATGCATATAAAATGGGAGGAATTCAGTAAGACCTTCTGCCTTGTTTGTTCTGTTTTACTGCTGCAGAAAATAATTAAAAATTAAAAATATTTTAGTGCACTAATAATAAAGTAAAAAGTTTTATTCTATTTGTATATAAAACTTAAATCCAATAAACCATAATGTAAAACAGGGATCAAGATTCTGTTTATACAGCCAAGGCAAATTTGATGAAGAACTAACAATAACATGGGAGGTTGAATAGGACATTATTTCCAAATGAGGCCAAACTTGATCATGTGCGTCATAGTCATCTATTTTTCATATATAAGTTATTTCGCTTTTCACTCTGATCCCTTTTCTTTGGCAAAATTTCTTTGTTCTCAAACTGTATAATCACGAGTCACAACATTTTGTTTTATTTACTATGCTTTTGGTTTTTTTTTCGAACTCGGATTTGAGGGGAAATAGAAATTGAATTAATGGATCCCAATGTTAATTTATAGCCCCTATATCCTGTGTAGCAAATGTTCACAAACCTACCACAAAATGAACCAATTCCTTGATTTATCCTTATTCATTCATTTTAATATAAACACAATCTTCAACTATTAAAAGAATAATAGGTATATTCTTTCGCTAGCGTTGGGACGTAGATTTGGTTGAAACTTTTAAAAAAGAGTTTTTGATGATGAGATGAAAAATAGTTTTTGAAAGTTGAAATTATGTTTGGACATACATTTTACTTGAGAAGAAGTTGAAGTTGTGTGAGTAAAACTTCAAAAACTTGAAAAATTCATCTTCAAAAACTGCCCAAAAAGTGATCACTTTTTATAATCAAACAGTATTCCAAATTTTGTTTGCAAAAAAAGTGAAAAGAACTTATGTCCAAACGAGAGTCCATCATTGGTTGAGAGAAAAATTATTGTCTTCTTATATGTTATTGGGTTAATTTTAGCCTCATGCACTAAATTTTAGCTTTCAGTTAGGTCTAAGATTTATTTTTCATAACACGATATTAGAGTTAGACTTACTTTTATTTTTTGTTTACTTAATATTGAGTTATCATGTTATGTTGTCTACGATTTAGTTGTCTAAAATAAGTTACTATCTCTTGATATGGTCCTAAACAATTTTCATTTTATGAACTAATTTTTTAAGAGTTAAGTACGACGATTATAACCATATTATATACTCTGTTTAATTATATATATATATATATATATATATATATATATATATATATATATATATATATAGCAAAGCCCTTTAAGTTTGTATTATCTTAAATTGTCTAAACTAGGACATAGATGGAACCAAGTAATACAAAGTCTAGTTACACCACAAAGCCCTAGCTTTTTTACTTTATGGAAATAAGATTAACCCACCTTTACATATTCTCCACCGACTCCATTTCTCATCTTCAACAGCCTAAGATGTGGGAATAGATGTAATCATTCTTATAGGGGATTAAGTATTTCGTTCCTTTCTTTTTCCTAATTCCCTTTGTCACACCAAGACTCAAAAATTTACTATATGTGGGTACCTAGCTAATAATTTGTCAAATGAAGGTGGTCATAACTAAAATAAGTCGTATTATTTGATAGTAGAAACTTTTGGTGAAGGGAGAAAATGTGACGACCCGATAGGTAGTTTTGAGCACTAGCTTCTTTACTGTGTTTCGAGACCTTTCGTAGCTTTATTTGATAATTTATAATGTGAGTGTATGGTCCGTGTCATTTTTCAGAAAGCTATTATGTAAAATTTTAAAGAAAATGTGGTTTTTGACTTAAAATGAGGCTAGAGTTAATCACGGTCAACATTTTTGGTAAACGACACTGGATTGACATTTAGACGATTCATGTATGTTCGTATGATATTTTTGGACTTGTATGCATGTTTGGTTGGGGGGCTCGGGTGATCCGAGGGCGTTTCGGCGCATTATGTGAAAGATTGGCAAATCTGGTTTTAAACTTGAAATTCTTGAGTTTTAGTGTTCGATTCGTGATCCTAGATGTAGTTTTGACAATTTGAATTAGCGAGCGAGTATGTATGATGTTATTACTCTTGTGCGAATGTTCAAATTGGATTCGGATGCGTTTTGATTGATGTTGGAACTACTGATGAACAAATGTTAATTGTGTTAAAGTTGCAGGTTTGCGAGGACCTAATCGCATTTGCGATGTCAGGCTCGCAAATGCTAAGAAGGAAATGGGGTAGGGTTTCGCTTTTGCGAAGGAAACTTCGCATTTGCAGACTTGGGGTGCACCGCTTTTGCGACCTTTTTGTCATTGCCCTCCCTGGAGACTGTGTACAACTTCGCAAATGAGAAGCTTGAACTGCATTTGCGATGGTTAGGGGCTTCACAAATGCGAGGTACTAGTCGCATTTGCGACATCTGGGACACTGTTGCACTGGTCACTTTTGCAATCAGTATTTCGCAATTGTGGACATCTACAGCTGGGTAAAAGTTAAAAAAAACGGGACTTACCTCATTTTACACCATTTCTCAATCCTAGACTCCATTGAGGCGATTTCTTGAATGCTTTTTCTTCTCAAATACATTGGTAAGCAACTATAATTTATTTTTCATCAATTTCCATTACCTTTTCATGAATTTCTTCATCAAATCTATAGATTTCAAGGTAGAAATTAGGAGTTTTGGGTAGAATTTAGGGAATTTATAAAATTTAAATTAGACCTTGAATTGAGGTCGGATTTTATAACAAATTACATAACCAGACTCGGGGGTGAATGGATAATTACGATTTGGTCCGAATCTCGGGTTTCGATCAAGCGGGCCCGGGGTTGACTTTTGTTGACTTTTTAAATTTAGTTAAAGATTGAATCTTTTTATTTTATGGGTAGTTTCTAATGCTTGATTTGAATTGTTTGAATGATATTTGGCTAGATTTGGTTGGTTTGGAGGCTTGTACTAAAGGAAATGTCGTGGTTGATTATTGATTTGGTTCTGAAAAAGATGAAAGTGTCGTGGTTTACTTTGACTTGAGGGAATTAGGACTTATATGGTCTATTTGCTACGTAAATTATGTGTGAAAATGGTGTATATGCAAGGTGACGAGTGTATAAGCGCTGTCATGGGTTCTAGCATGCGAGGTGTGCTATTTTTCATCATGTTATCATTTATTCCATGTTATATCTCGTTATATGCTTTGATTGATACATGTAGTTACTCGTTATTTATGCCTTACTTGTTATTTGTCATTTATTTGTTATATGTTTCTGTTTATTTATTCCTTGATCAATATCTGCGTACCTACTATATGCTCTCACCTGTATTAATTGAACATCTTCACTATTTCATGCATTTACTTGCCTTTATTGTTTTTACCTTATTTGTTGTAGTTTATTAAGTTATATCTAATTGTGTGAGCCCTTGGCTATTTTTGCATCGATAACTTGTCGAGGTTCGGGTTGGATTACGATGTGAGAATACTTTATGAATTTGATTTGTTGGTTGTTCTCTGTTTGTACTCGTAGTTTCCGGGTGATTTATATGCTTTGGCTTCTTTTTCATGTTGAGAATTCAAAATTTGTGGTATTGAGTTGTTGATGACAATGAAATTAAAATGGAAACGGGTTGCGCACCACAACAGAATGAAAATGAAATGATATTAGGATTCGATTGCTCGCCGCAAAAGATATTAATATGATATTTGGATCGGGTTGTACGTCCCAACAGATACTGAGATGATATTGGGATCGAATTGCTCGCAGCAGTAGATGTTAATTTGGATTTGGGATTGGATTGCGCGCCGCAACAGGGAATGATGTGTTGTTACTATTTGTAGCTATGGTGTTCTAGTACGAGGTTATGAGATGATGTTATTTTCGAGTCCTCTGTTAGTTGACCTTCTGGTCGCGTTGTTACGAGCTTATCCGTTTTCTCTATATTTATGTTGTCTGCTATTTATTATTCTTATATGTTTACATTGAGTGTCTTGTCATAGCCTCGTCACTACTTCGTCGAGGTTAGGCTCGGCACTTACGGAGTATATGAGGTCGGTTGTACTCATAATATACTTCTGTACTTCTTGTGTATATCTCGGTGTTAGTCCTAGCGGCGCATAGAGGAGAGTGCTCGGATCAGATCTATCGAAGAGACTTGAGGTAGAGCTGCACATCGTACGCAATCCCTGGAGTCCCCTTCCTATCTTATTTTACTATTTATCTTGTTTCGAACAGTTGTATTTTATTTCAGACTGTATTTGTAGCATTGTAGTAGCTCATATACTTGTGACTACAGATTTTGGGATTAGTATAAACAATGTTACCTATGAAATTGTTATACTATGTATTTAAAGTATTTAAATCTTTAATTCTTAATATCTTGCTTTTAAATTGTTAAATTGGTTAATTCTTTAGCTAATGCTGACTTGCCTAGCAAGCGGATTTTAGGCGTCATCACGGCCCCATGGTTGGGATTTCGGGCCGTGACAGAAAGAGGCGGAATCAGACTTACCTTCGTGTGTAATTCACATTACGAACATTAATTACATGAAATAAGAATGATACTTTTACCCTTCCTATCTCTTTCCTTATTAGTTTCTTGTATCTTCTTTTCTCAAAAGACTTTAATTACGGTGCATTGATAGTTTACCATTAAGTTCAAATTACTTAAAACAATTCATAATTGTTTATAGTAATTATAATTTAGTAGCATAAAAATTATAGCAAAAACTCACTATAGTTAATTAAACTACACTCATGGTGTAAATTTTAATGTATTTGTGTTGAGTCCTACTCATGAATGGTGATAGAAGTGAAAAGAGGAAAATACCAAATTTATGGGACAGTTGCTACAGGTAGGTCCAAGCGGTGTTTGGTTGGTTCATTAACACAACCCTTCATCCTGTTTTCCCCTGTATATAAAACCCTTTTAGAAGTCCCACTTCCTCTTCATTCCAAACACCATACATCTCCACCATTTTTCTTCCCCTAATAAACACAAGGAGATTGCAAATGGGAATGCCAATTATCTTCCTTCTCCTTGTTGCTCTTTTTGCTCCTCTCTTCACATTCTCAACTCCTGTTCCTGACCCTGAAGTTATAGTCCAAGAAGTTAATGAGTATGACACTTACACCCTTTACTCTTATTCCCCACTTTCATTTTTGGTCACATTCTTCTTATTATCAAAATTAGTCGGGTTCAGTTATATGAATCCATAATTTCAACATTCAAAGTTTATAATAATTTGCTTATTTTTACGTTAATTGTTAACGCACCATAAGGTCCCTTGATCTTGTTAAAGGAGGAAGTAAACAAATCAAGGTTTGTGCGTACTTACATTATGTAGGGTGTGGGCAGGGGCGGGGAGGCGAGCTCCATGACCCTATGCCCATAACAATTTGTGGCACCACAGATTAATAGTAATAGAACTCGACGTAAAATTTGTGGCACCACACTATGCTTAGCATCTAGGCAGAGTTAAATTAATTCCTTAAACTAAGATTTCAACTTTTTTTCTGATTTTGCAGCAAAATTTTCAATTCATCAAGAAGGAACTTAGGCTATTTATCATGTGGAACAGGCAACCCTATTGATGATTGCTGGAGATGTGATCCAAATTGGGAAAAAAACAGGCAAAGATTAGCTGATTGTGCCATTGGATTTGGCAAACAAGCCATTGGTGGAAGAGATGGTAAAATTTACATAGTGACTGATACTAGTGATGATCCTGTAAATCCAAAGCCAGGAACTTTAAGATATGGTGCAATTCAAAATGAACCACTTTGGATTATATTTGGTAGAGATATGGTTATTAAGCTAAAAGAAGAATTAATGTTGAATTCATTCAAGACTATTGATGGTAGAGGAGCTAGTGTACATATTGCTGGTGGTCCATGTATTACTATACAATATGTTACAAATATTATTATACATGGATTAAATATTCATGATTGTAAACAAGGAGGAAATGCTTATGTTAGAGATTCACCAGAGCATTATGGTTGGAGGACATTATCAGATGGAGATGGAGTTTCTATATTTGGAGGAAGCCATGTTTGGGTTGATCATTGCTCTTTGTCAAATTGTAGAGATGGCTTGATTGATGCAATTCGTGGATCTACTGCCATTACTATTTCCAATAATTACATGATACATCATAACAAGGTAATCAGTAGCGGATGTAGCAGTAGCTTTGACACACCACTTGGTACTTTCCGTATTTTTTTTTTTTTTTTGTGGCTAGTTTTCTGTTACTATTTGCTGTTGTTTTGTGTCTCGATTTTCTGAACACATTTCTGTCTTTAAAGGCAGGAGTAAGGTTGACATACACCCTATCCTTCCCAGACCCCACTTATGGGACTACACACCTTTCTGTTCATTTTCGATTGAACGAGTAGTAATTGCAGTAATATTTTATACGTACTGACCTTAAATTTTGAATCCGCTTCTGTAGGTAATGCTTTTGGGACATAGTGATTCATTCACTAGGGACAAGAACATGCAAGTTACCATTGCTTTTAACCATTTTGGAGAAGGGCTTGTACAGAGAATGCCAAGGTAAATAATAAAGATTTTTTTTTTGGCAGCCCGGTGCACTAAGCTCCCGCTATGTGCGGGGTCCGGGGAAGGGTCGGACCACAAGGGTCTATTGTACGCAGCCTTGCCCTGCATTTCTGCAAGAGGCTGTTTTCACGGCTTGAACCCGTGACCTCCTGGTCACATGGCAGCAACTTTAACAGTTACGCCAAGGCTCCCCTTTGTAAATAATAAAGAAATGTTGGATCTAATATTCTCTGTTGTTTTTTTTTTAGTACATTTATTTGTGTAATGAGACAATAATTTTCTGGGAATTGCAGATGTAGACATGGATATTTCCATGTGGTGAACAATGACTACACCCATTGGGAGATGTATGCAGTTGGAGGAAGTGCTTCTCCAACTATCAACAGTCAAGGCAATAGATTTCTTGCTCCTAATGATATCTTCAACAAGGAGGTAAAAAATACAATTAACTTAACACTTTTGAAGAAAATTTATTTTAAAAGGAAATAAGGGACTTTTATTGTTTAAAGGTCACAAATGTATTTAACCCAAAAAAAAAATAGAAAAAGACCAATTCCTTCTTAAAAACATTTAAAGATCAAATGTAAGAAAGATGACATTTTTTCTTATTTTTTCAAGATTGCAAACTTTTTATGTTAAATTGTGGACCAAGTAGGTGACTAAGTGGGCGTTTGGACATAAGAATTATAAAATTCCAAAAAAAAAGTGAAAAAAAAAATTTAAGTGAAAAAATGGTATTTGAAAATTAGAATTGTGTATGGACATGAATATAATTTTGGGTTGTTTTTGAAGTTTTGTAAGTGATATGAATGAAAATTTTGAAAAACGGAGTTTTTCAAATTTTTGAAAAATTCCAAAATTCATCTTCAAGTGAAAATTGAAAATTTTATGGCCAAACACTAATTTCGAAAAAAAGTGAAAAAATTCTTATGTCCAAACGGCTCTAAATTTCGTGCATTTTGTCACCTTTGTTACTGTAATATTTTTTCTTTTTTTACGCAGATGTCCTGAGTAGTCACTATCTACCATAGTTCATCTGTAGTAATTCCAATTTAGTAACATTTGAATAGATTTTTGCATATTGAAAATAAAAATGTTTTTAAATGAGTTGACTAAACTTTGCTTAGCCTACCCTTAGAGGGTACTATTGCACCAAAGTTTGCCTAATTAAAGTTGAAAGGGTCAAATGATAGAAAGGAGTTTCAAGGTTTTATGCACTAAGGGGTCGTTTGGTTGCCGGTTAAAGTTATGTAGGTATTAGTTATACATGTATTAGTTATGCAGGTATTAGTTATGTATGTATTAGTTATGCAAGAATAAGTAATGCAGGGATTACTTATGCATGCATTAGTTATGCAAGGATTAGTCCTTGAATAGTACACGTGAAATTCAAAAAAAAGGTCATGCTAATTGTAGTGTATATAATTCTTTCTTGGATTTTGGTTGAATTTCTTGCTATATTGTTACACACTTTATTTAGTAATTCAAAAATATCATAGTACACGATTGTTATTTGCGGTAGAAAACGAACAATGAAAAGTTTGCTGGAGAAAATGGCAATGATTTGTGGTAAATTGATAGGGGTAAATTTGTCATTTCAGTATTTTATCCATGTATTACTAATACATGTATTAGTTATTCCATCTTCTCCCCCGCATAAAATAACACACAGATTGACTCATAACTTATACATGTATTATTATGTAGAATTGTAAAATGCCAACCAAACATGGTATTAGTTATGCTGAATTTTTTACAAAATAACTAATGGCTACCAAACATGGTATAAGTTATGTTACCCCTAATACATGAATAACTTTTCCCCTAACCGGCTACCAAACGACCCCTAATGGTGTACAAAATACTCACATAATCAGGTCACATATAGGGTAATTATAAATAAACTTGTATGATAAGTATTAACAAGTAGTACCGGATAAAAACAATAAATAATCACATATTCCCTACGAACCATAATAAGTGACTATTTTACTTTTTTATTTTGCTCCAAAATAAATGTCTATTTACATAATCAAGAAGGAATTACTTTTATTTTACCAATATTTGCCCTTATTTACATACTCTAATGTGTCAAGGTAACAATTAATTAAGGTTAATTTAGTGAATATATCTTTTTTTTTCTTTAGGAGTTCGTATCTTAATGGGTGTGTCAAAGGTAAAATTATCACTTAACCGGAGGGAGTATTAAACTACACCAGTAAATAGTACTTCCTCTGTCTCATATTAACAGTCGTGATTACTAAAAATAGTTGTCTCAAATTATTTGTCATTTTAGAAATTCAAGACTTAATTGATTATTTTTTTTCTTGTTTTACCCGTAGTAATAATTGTTCTTGAAGATAGAGATAACAAATAAATAGAATAAATATTCAATGAAGAGATATTATATTTTAAGATATTAATAAGGATAGAAAAGTTCAATCCCTTTTATAATTAATATATTTTTTAAAGGGCGTGTAAAAGAAAAACACGACACATAATATGAGACGACAGGAATAGCAAGGAAGAAGCGGCTCATTAATGTGAATGACCTAGTTTTTAGGTGTCATAATGGTAGTAGCAACTTTAATAAAGATGGCAAGTGCAGTAAAAAAAGTGGCTAAAATAAAAATTATGGTTACTTTAACCTATTTGTGTTTAAATGTTGGCTCAATAGGTGACAAAACATGAAGATGCACCAGAAAGTGAATGGAAAAATTGGAACTGGAGATCTGAAGGAGATTTAATGCTTAATGGAGCTTTCTTTACTAGGTCTGGTGCTGGAGCTTCTAAAAGTTATGCTAAAGCTTCAAGTTTAAGTGCAAGGCCATCTACTTTAGTTAGCTCTATTACAGTCAATGCTGGTGCACTTGGCTGCAAGAAGGGCAAAAGATGCTGATTTATTTACTATGATTTTCAATTACCACTACATGTTGTAATTCTCAATATATATTATAATCTCACTCAATTGCCACATAGTAATGTTATGTGATAATCAAGGCTCAAGTGTGAATACTACTACAACATTTTCAACTATATATATATGTGACCCACCATGCTTAATAATTGTTGTTTTTCTTTCACTTATATGTCCTTCCATAAAGGTTACATTGATGATATAGTACTGAAATGATAAAATGAAAAGAAGAATTAACTCACATAGCCGTTCACTCAATTATTTAAATTAAAAATAGCCGATGAAGGTATATTATATGTGTATAATTATGTATAATCAATATATAAATTATGTATATAGCTAGAAAAAGTAAACAATGAAAACTTCCAAGCTCCAAATACGTGGAAATGACACCAGGTAGCTACTTTTAAGCATGTTGTTTAAAATATATCCACATCACTGTGTTTAAAGATTAGCCAATTTCGCTCAAACTTCAGGACATGGCGTCCTAGAGTTTAAACCTCAAAATTCAAACTTCAGGACATCGTGTCCTAAAGTTCGAAAATTGAGTCCAGAAGTTAAAATCTTATGTCCTGAATGTTAAATTAGTAGTTAGGAAATTCACGACACTTAGTCCTGAATTTTAAATTAGCCACTCAAAAATTCAGGACACTTAGTCCTGCATTTCCAAATTCAGAATGTTTAGTCCTGAAGTTTGGGTGAACTGACTAATCTTTAAATACACTGTAAATTATTGATATATTTTAAATAACGGACTTAAAAATGACCATTGCTGCACTTCTCATTTCCGACTTCAACTCCAAATAAACACTTCTCCAAATAAACGTCTATTTAAGATCGTAAAAATTGCACGAGGCGCCCTATTTGGTCGCCCCCATTTAACCTATACCCGTTTTTTTTTAAAAGCTTTAACTTGTACCCACTTTTTAAACAACTTCAGCTCCCTTTCTCCTCCTCCTTCTCCTCCTTCGTTTTCTTCTTCTTCTTCTTCTTCTTCTTCTTCTTCTTCTTCTTCTTCTTCTTCTTCTGCTGTTGGTGCTGCTATGAAACTTCATTTCATGGGATGATTGTCATAAGTATGTTTATCAGATTATTTAAAAATAAATTATAAATAATTATGTAAGTTAGTAGACAATAATTTGTGAATATTTCCATGTACGGAAAGTTTAAGGCCACACTTAGTGATTCTTTTCATGATAATTCTGTTCTTTTCACGTTTATTTGTTTCCAAAATTTTATGATTTAGATACTGTTGGCAATCTGATTATTTTATAGTAGTCTGATTATAACAAAACTATTGAATCCATGACAAAAAAAACTTCAGCTTATTTAGTACTGAAGTTTTTACAAATGAACTAAATAACTTCAGCATCTTCTACTGAAGTTTTTGAACAAGCTTTATGACAAAACTAATGAATCCAGGACAAAAAAACTTCAGCTTATTTAGTACTGAAGTTTTTACAAATGAACTAAATAACTTCAGCATCTTTTGCTGAAGTTTTTGAAAAAGCTTAATGACAAAACTAATAAATCCAGGACAAAAAAACTTCAGCTTATTTAGTGCAATTACAAACACAAATTTCAGCAAATAGAGAACAAAACTTTAGCTACTATGCTTAAGTTCAGCAATTACAAACAAAAATTTCAGCAAATAGAGAACAAAACTTCAGCTACTATGCTTAAGTTCAGCAATTACAAACAAAAACTTCAGCAAATAGAGAACAAAACTTCAGCTACTATGCTTAAGTCCAGCAATTACAAACAAAAACTTCAGCAAATAGAGAACAAAACTTCAGCTACTATGCTTAAGTTCAGCAATTACAAACAAAAACTTCAGCACACTTGGTTCAGCACACTTGCTACTTCAGGCCCGTCTACTAGAATGCTGAAGTTTTGCGTGATTGCCTTTGCTACTTCAGCCCTGTATGCTGAAGTTACGCGAAAAAAGTGGGTACGCTTGCAATTTTTTTTGCAAAGCGGGCACAAGTTAAAACATGACCCAAAAAGCGGGTATGGATGCAAATCCCCCTTTAAGATCGTTTTAGCCCGGAACTACTATCAGTTATAGTCATTTATTGAAGATGTCCTACTTGAGAGGTTTCACTCAAATGGGTGGTAGATCAATATAAATGCAACCAACCTCAAGGAAAAGGCACCTTTTTTGTACACTGTGAAGAGGACCATCATTTGGTAGACTAAAATTGCAGTCACCAAAAAAGAATGCAACTTTTGACAGAAGTTGCAATGGCTCCATCAATGCTGAGATCTTGTTTTCACGAAGAGCAATTGATGCCCATATTAGATACTCCCTCCGGTCCAAAATAAGTGATTTTTTGACCTTTTTCTTGTGGTCCAAAATAAGTGATTTTTCTAGATTTCAAGTAATGTAATTAATTTATTTTTCCTACTATTGTCCTTGGAGTAAATAGTATTGGAATATGTGTTAGGAGTGTTTATGTGAAATAGTAAAGGTTCATATGGTCAATTCCATTGCTAATTAATGCTAAAAGGTGAATTTCTTAATATGTGTGAAAACATTAAAAAAATCACTTATTTTGGACCGGAGGGAGTACCACGTACTAGATATTCCACAAACCGTTCAACTACCACTAGCAACTAACATGCAAATTTTAAGAGCTTCTGTCCCATGGACCCCATAAATTCCTCAAATAAACTACCAGACGTAAATTTATAACAATTCTGGCACCACCCTACCCATGAATAGCATATCAAGGCTCTCTCTCCCATGAAACTTGTGCATCTATAGGATATATCTAGGTAAAGCTATTGTTCTAACTTGGACTCTAAAAGAATATGTATATTGGCCCATACTAATAACAACAACAATCCAGTAAAATCTTATAAGTGGGGTCTGCGGAGAGTAGTGTGTACGCGAACCTTACCCCTAGCCCGAAGAAGTAGAGAGGCTGTTTCCGAAAGACTCTCCGCTCAAGAAAATAAAAAGACAAAAAGAGACAATATTAGTATCACCACGAAAATCATAGGAACAATAGGAACATGAAATCCAGAAGAAAGATGCAAAGCAAAAGCGATAGCTAGTAAAATAGGTCCTGCACTGAAAACCGAAATAGTAAGACACAACATTGCCACTAGCTATCTTAGACAAAAACCCTACCACACTAGTCTCACAAAGGTATGAAGTAAGGCAAGACTCGACTACTTTGTATACGGTCATAATCGCATACCTCCGAATATAGGCTCGAGGGACCGAGTTCGGGCGAGGTCGAGTTCGAGATCGAGGGACCAGACCCGAGTTCGAAGATAGAACACGATGCGTACAGAGGCCAAGCATGCTCGACCCCGAAATAGTACCGTTATGAATTTGTAACAGAATAAGCTAGATCCCTGCCGCGTTCCTATGATCATGGCGCAAATCCAGGAATAGGATTATACGATTCCGTACTAGGCGGTTAGACAGTTGTACCAAGAATATTCCTTACTGTAAATAGAAATATTCCTTATTTAGGGTTCCCCTATTATATAAAGGGGACCCCAATCATTTGTAACACACATAATCACCGAGAAAAGAATATACTCTCTACTTTTGCCTACTGTTCATTAGCATTATCTTTTAGCTCTATTTCTCTTGCTTTACTTTTCTTACTTTATTGCTTTTGACCCGTCTCGAGGTCACCATCTCGAGGTCACTACTGCTAATTAATATTGGTTTGATTCACTTATCTCTTTCATTTCTACTTCATATTTCTTGATTGTTAATTGGTATTGAACTAAATCACATATCTTTAAAATCACAAATCAAATTTAATTGTTACCCGTATTTTCGAGGTAAACAGATTGGCACCCACCGTGGGGCTAAAGATAATAGTGATTATTTTTTTACTGATTCTCATTACACACATATTGTTTTTGACACTTTTTCTTGTCAAGATTTTTTGATTCTCAGGCTGAAACATGTCTAGCACACAAAACACACTTGTTCATGACAACGAAGGTCTTGGAGAAAACAAGAATATAGGGGTCGGTGTACGACAAATAAACCCTGAGGAAGTGCCAAATATGGAGCCAGTTGATATCAGTTCACATAATGCTCTAAACGCGGATTCAAGCACAGACCCCGTATGGAATGAACACAGGGAAGCCCGATCTGTTGGCCAAGGAGCAAGAGGAATGGGAGATGGGGGAATCAGCCTCCAAGTGATATTCGAGATGCTGCAAGCTCAGCAAATCGCCATCGCTCAACTTCAAAGTCAGAATAAGACTCCAAGCATAGCTGAACATGAAAATGCTCAACATACTGAACCAGCACCGGAGAGGTCGAACGGAAATAATTCGAGGACTGACCCCACCATTATGAGGATGCTCGAAGAGCTTACTAACAGGATCGAGTCCGGAGAAAAGAAAATTGAAGACAATGATAAGAAGGTGGAAACTTATAACTCCCGTGTAGGCCAGATACCGGGGACACCTCCAGTTTTGAAAGGTCTAGATGCCAAAAAGTTCATACAAAAACTGTTCCATTAGAGCGCAGCTCCGATGCCCATTCCTAAGAAATTTTGCATGCCTGATATACCCAAATATAACGGAATAACCGACCCCAACGAGCATATTACTTACACTTGCGGGATCAAAGGGAATGGTTTGAATGGCGATGAGATCGAATCGGTCTTGTTGAAAAGTTTGGAGAAACGTTTTCGAAAGGCGCTATGATTTGGTATCACAACTTAGCTCCTAACTCTATTGACTCGTTTGCCATGTTAGCAAATGCTTTTGTGAAAGCACACGTCGGGGCCATAAAGGTGGCCACGAGAAAATCGGATGTCATCAAAATAAAACAAAGGAACGACGAGATGTTAAGGGAGTTCGTGTCCAGGTTTCAGATGGAAAGAATGGAATTACCACCGGTCTCCGATGACTGGCAGTACAAGCTTTCATGCTGGGTTTGAATGAGAGAAGCTAGATTGCGTCTCGATAATTGAAGCAGAATTTGATCGAGTATCCAACTGTGACATGGTCGGATGTGTATAATCTTTACCAATCAAAAATTAGGGTCGAGGACGACCAACTAGGAGCCCCATCGGGTTCAGTTCATCCTAACAGGTTTGTGGGCAAGCCCCCGAGGGATACGAACAAGGAATCGAG